AATCTGGTTCAGTGCCGGTATTTGAAAGTCAAACATTATTTTTTACTATAACTGTCCTAAAAAGTCAGCATCAAGAGACAGCAACACCTAACCGTATCGCGCTTCATCTACATTGGCATCGCTTCATCGTGGGTTATCAAGAAATATTGATGAAATAAATCATTCGCGGATCTTCGTCGGTTCGCGAGTTTTGGACGAAGTAAATCGGCAGGTTTTATAAAATATATATGTCTAAAATTTTACGAAAACATATATATTGAAAATTCAGTATTAAATTATTTAAAACCCATTATAATAAATAAAGCATACCAAGCAATTACAAAACAAATACTTAAATGAGTATTTTCGGTCGAACAATTCCCTATCACGGATTTCACCAGCGCGGCCGGAAAAACCCGCGATAATCGATTAATTACTGTATTTGAGAGTGAAGTTTGAGCTCATGATTCGTGGAATCGTGTTCGTGACGAAACGCGTTCGTGACGAGTGTCATAAATGCGTAATTATGCTTGGCGTTGTCTGCTAGCGATAAGTACGCCGCAGCAGTGTTGCCAACTACGCATAAATTTCTATATGAACTAAGAAGGTTTAGGATACGTGGCTATTCCAAACATTCCATTTTACACAACCAAAATAGTAAGCTCCCCAAAGAAGATAGATGGAAAATAATTTTTGATCTTAACAAGAATATAATATTCCCTAGCCCACGGTCACAATTATAGTTCGTTATAGAATTTATTCCTGATGACAACCAGAAATTTTTCTGTAATATCCAGAGCCCGGCATCACAGTGAGTGTACGGACTGTACGCGCTCAAGGCCGTCATTCAGATTCAGGATGTGGAAGTGAGGGTTGCTCACAATGGAGCAGAAGTTGTTTGTTCAGTTCATGCATTCGGTTCTTGCAGTGAATTTCTGAACGCGTTATCTGAACAAGCAAAGAATTTTGAAACAAATTGTGCGAGAGACGATCTGGTTCTGATGGAGTTAATGCACTATAAGTCAACTGGTAATAATACAAATAATGAATTAATGTTTATTTAGCAGTCTTGAGTGATGAAATTTGTTTTGTTTAAAATTGAATCGCGTATGTGAAACAAATGTTCTCCGCTAACGAAATCCTGCTTGGTAAGAGGCTCGTTACGACAAATCTATACATTGCACAGTGATATTAATATTGGAAATGATTCACAGAATATGTAGATCGTATTTATACTATCGTGCATCATGTACAGTATATTCGTACTGTAAAATATACTATGAGTCTAAAACCGTTGATATTATGCACATGAAACTGTGAATTAATTGAATGTCTCGAATCTGTGAAAAGTCGAAAAAAAATTTCAATATATTGCACTACTTTTCAGATTTCTGTCAATGATATCGTTAAGAGTATCCATGGCAACGGCCCTCCATGAAAACGTTGACGTATTTCTCAATCGAAATCGACTAATTTTGAGCATGATTATGGCAGAGATTTTCTCTAACTGCTTTTCTCTTAAGATCCTTAGAACAATTGCCAAACCTAACATCAACGTTAAACATTGAAAATTCTTACGTTTATCGCACCAACCGGCAAGAGTCGAAATAATGGTCGAACAAAAATAAAAGCATATAAAATAAGTTTAATTTCATGGCCTGCGTAACTTTGTAAGGATACAAAAAATTAGTTCTTCTCTGGACATTGATCAAATTTGCAGTTTCTTCATAACATTTCATCATAAGTAAGTTTTCCTTTAATACCTCGACTTCTGGACCTCGCTATGCTTGTATTCATGATTAATATGATAGATAATCTCACATAGGTTATTTTCCAGAATCCTATATAGAAATTCGTCTCCTGAAACAATTTTGTACTCTTTGGGCAAATTTTTGGCGAATATTACACCTAAAGTCTACAAATTCCTATGCCTAGCTCAACGATTTAGAGGGAATGGTATCGAAATTACTGGCTCACTCGAAAAACAACTAGAAAACTGCAAGGATTCATGTCATGTGCAAATAAAAAATTAGTTATGAGAATTAATTAATCTTTTCAACAAAAGTCAATTGAAACGATTTCATTCCACAAGTTACTGCGATTTTCGTAGTTAAACCGAAACAAGAGCCTGTAGAATGAAAACAAAAATATTTCAGGAATTCTCATTAAACTTACAGCTCAATAGAACAATATTTGGAATAATTAGATCGTGCGAGATCAAATTAAAGTATTCGAAAGTGGCTACACACAGCTTGTTAAAAACATAAGTATGCAATATGTACCTATAGAAGATGTTTAGAAATGACATACGCCTATTAGATCTGACTGCAGTTGTTGATTCCGCGTTGACCGGGCTGAACTGCCATCTAATACTTAAGTATAATTAATTACCCAAGAATTTGAAAGCAAATAAACGCCAGGTAAACTCTTATTTCTTCGTTGAAAACCTCTTTCAAGAAGACAGGGTAAATTTCACTCTCATTCGCTTTCTTCGCTTATACAATCTTGTGAAGCTGGTCACATAGGATGAAAATTTTGTTATTGCTTTTCTTTTTTCCCATCTTGTTTGTAAATGGGACAGAAGAAATTTAAAGTTCGGCGATCCTTTGCAGAAGTTCAAGAAAATGCTTTCATGTTTATACGAAAATACGATGCTGTGAACAGGGCAACTTTATCCCGCGTGCAAATTATATTGAAAATGGGGGTACTTTATAAAAAATTTTTTATAACATTTTGCAAATAAAATGCTACAATATCGAGACACATTTCATTCGATATTTAACAAAATTATCTAGCGGCTCTGGAGCCCCGTTTATCGATTTCCCTCATCGTTTGCTTTTATGCGCGTATTTCCCTTTTTCCACATTTTTCCCTGCCCCACCACCGCTCCCCCCATATATAAGTCAAGCAATACACAAATTCAAAAAAATATAACTCAGTACTCACAGCAGTGAGTGACAGAGAGCGCATTTTCTCGTCGACGAAAACTTGAGGTCACGGACGGACGGACAGACGGACGGACGGACGGACAGGCAGACAAACGGACATGGCGAGCACAATAGTGCATTTTTTCCATAAATGAGAAAATGCGCTAAAAAGGCTCCCAGAGTCGCTATAGGTATGGTCTTTACAAATCTGATATGTCTGTCATTGCTCTAGGTTGAATACTGTAGGAGTTATAAAGATTTTAATGTGGATAAAAAATAACAGTTCAAAATTTCAGGATAGCTGAAAAACTGAAAGAAAGTTGGTCCGTGCTTTTGGCACTGGATCCCCGGCTTTACCATCGCCTATTATCTCGTAACATACGAGGGGTATAATCATGCGCCAAATGACTCATTGTAGTCCAGTTTGGCACAGAATAATATGGTTGATAGAGAAAGAGAGTGAGAGAGATAAGCAAGAACCTGTGGTCGGCTCATTAGGCGTGATATAAATCGACCAATATTCGCGTACAAAAATCAATATAGTAAACGAACAAACGCACGAATAGACATGCTGATTACACCGTTAGAGGTGCCAGATTTGAAGCTTTAAATTCACAACAAAAACCAAAAAAGTTAAAATTTTCAATTTGTCACCGAGCCGGTCCCCTTAACTTTGTCGCAAATTCATATTTAACATATTGACAAGCAGTTAGGTGAATTGTCATTTTCTACAACCCTAGTTATGATTGTATCAGTTATTGGGAGCTGTTGTTTATAAGCTGGAAGTTCACTCATAGAAATGAAGGGGTCATATTGTCTAAAAGTAACACACTTTCTGCAGGTAGCACTGATACGTCCTTTTGCCAGGAAAACTGAGTCAAGAAGGCCAACACATGGCAAGAAGTGCATCACTATTTAAACAAAGTCTGTTGATTTCTCTGAGTGTTCCCAATAAGGTGCTCAAGATAACTTCACCTCACAAGTAACATCAGATACATGCATGTATGTCAGACGCAAGTCAGTAAATGCAATCTTAATATAAAGAATAGTAACTAAATTTCTCCTTGTTCAAAAAGAGCACTAATATCAGGCAACGTAAATTGTTTATGAAGATATTTGAGTATCGTTTATACCCTCACTCGATTTTGTAATTAAAAATTTAAACACAAAATTCTTCATGTAATTTTCAAGGAAGTGCACGAAGAAGAATCAGCGCTCATGGTGCCAGCATGAATATGAGCCATCAGTGACTTTCATGACTAAAATATTTATTTCCTGCTTGTAAAAATACTGGAACGCTGGGGGGAATCCTCTCTATTGTAACTAATTGGAACTATGAATTAGTGGGACGATGCATAATGATGTCCAAAATCAGAGTTTCAGCTCTCCATACAACCATTTTGTCACGCGTTATCAAGGATTGTTCCAACATTTTTAATTCCAGGAAATATTTTATGGAATGAAAAACAAGTGTTATTGTAGATGAACAGAGTAGAGGAAATTCGGCTTGTAGACAGAACAATTTTCAGTAGTTTATATGAGATTTGCATCCATGAAGCACCACTTTTTAATGTTGACGTGCCAGTTTCAAACGCAGTGCGAGTATATTTAAGCGTCTTTCTCTCTCGCCTGATTGAGGATTAAGGAAGGCAACCATAGACTTTATTTTCGCAGTAGCATTATAGCTTCTAGATTATTTCGAATAAAACGAGTTGCCTTTTCTTGGTGGAAAGAAGTGATGTCGACCGAACAAGCATATTAGACCAACAGATGCTGGATCACTATCACTCAGAAGGTTTGTGTGAAGTGTACCTATATATTTTTGTTGGGCATCACTCACTAATAGTTACAGGAAACTTTTAAATTATTCACAAGATGGCAAGTGCGATGATAGAGTGCGACGTTTGTAATGAAAAATTCGACTCGGGTAACCATAAGCCGCTTTGCCTGACCTGCGGCCACACGTTTTGCTTCTCTTGCATTTTAAATTTACTAAAACTCCCTGGAACCCAAAATTGCCCAAAATGTAGGAAACAATTTTCCCAACGAATTGATCAAATGTTGGTGAACTACGCATTGATTCCTTCAAAAAACATGGTTCGCCCACATCCCCCGAGCTCGCTGTCAGAGGCACAGTGCCTTCATCAAGGGAAGGCGCTGGATTACCTGTGCGTAGACTGCATGGAACTCTTGTGCTTCACGTGCACCAGGCGCACACATAAAAATCACACAATTGAGTTATTAGACGACCTACTTGAAGAGGATGAATCTGTTTCGAACTCGTGGACGAAAATACGGACCACAATTCACGATAAACTCGGGCGCGTGAATAACTTAGTCTCCGTATCAGACGATATATTGAGTTTGATTGCTGAAATCATCAACCTGAAGACTGAATTTCAAGGATGGAAGGATTCACTGCTGGTCCAGAAACTGTCGACAGAGCAAGACCTCCAGGCTTGGGATGCCCCGGCCAGCGGTGTGATTGGGAATAAGCGACATGAATGCAAGGAAATGCTTTGTCGTCTAAAATTTACACCTTCAGAAAATTTACAGTTACCAGTAATCAGAGCCAGGTTGTTTGCAGCTTTGAAGAAATGTGATTCGTTACAGGCGAGTGGAATGATATATTTGATACAAATTACCTCCGTATGAGTCTCAACTGTAATTTGCTACCACGATAGATTCGTATTTTATTCCATCTTGCTAGTTTAATTCTGAAAATAATTTTGTGTTGGTTTAATTAAAAAAACTGAATTCAATTGATTGATGCAATATAATTTTATTTTAATTCTGCGAGGAAGACGGATTGATCTAATGATTTTCAATACGGAATAAAAGCACGATTCCAGTAAAATTCAGATTGAGATTATTTAACATTCGCAAGCAAGCACGAACTATCACTGTATTTAAATTGAGAAACTTTACAAGGCTGAAGGCTACATGCAGGCGATAAAAAATGTATAAAGCTTCCTTTAAAGCGGGGAAATGGTGAAGTTCATCTGCCTAATAAACGCATTTGATATTATTTCACATTTTCTACTTTTGCAAGCCTATTCTTGTTACTGAATAACCATTACCGTATTTAGAATTACTCTTCGTGTATATAAATTACAATATGAAAAATTTCCGTGTAATTTCCAGACATGCGAGCTTCCAACATATGAGGACGGAGTGGCTTGGACAGTCACCAGCTGGGATGAAGGAGAGCGAGCTGTCGCCAGCCTGGCCAGCAACATCAAGCCCAGTCTCCTCGTGGTGCTGTCCACCAGCCTGGTCAGCAACATCAAGCCCAGTCGCCTCGTGGTGCTGTCCACCCACACCCGCCCCATCCCGGGGCTGGGGGATCTGCTGTACCGCCTCGCCTACCACCACACCGGCGACATCAGCCTGCTGCCCCTGGACTCTTTCTGGAGGCCGACAGGACAGTCGGATGAAGGCATGGTCATCGTCAAATTTAGGTACATTGGTCAATAGTTTTGACGAGTCAGAGATATTATCTCAATACGAACGGGTGAAAATAGGGATAAAATGTTCACTAATTATAATCTTTCACTGGCATTGCAGGAGATCGTTGCAAGGAGGCTGATGCGAGGAAGCTTTTCTCGCGAGTAAATGAGTTGTATGATCATGAAATCGGCAAAAGAAAAAAGAATTAAAATTGTATAATTATAGAGACAAAAAAAAAAGCGAAACGCATGTATATAAAGTACGTATCATACATGTAAGGCATACAGATATTTCTTTACATATATAGTCTCCTCCCATCACCCCAACTTCTTTGTAACTATCCAAGTACTGGCGAGTTCCCTCTTCCCAACCCTAACCAAACCTCACCCAACCATAACCAACCCGATCAGGCGTCATTCCTCTTTCCCCTTCCTCTTTCTGGCCAATCTGCGCTACCTCTTGTTCGCTTCCACTCTTTCCTAGTGGCACCGCACCACCACCACCACCACCATCACCACCACCATCACCACCACCATCACCACCATCACCACAAAATTGGCAGATTTTGTCATCACTGCTTCAAAGAATGTCGAATGCGGGTGTTTCTATTATCGACTTCCAGTTGAACTGTCCTCAGGATTCTGACCTCCAAGAACCAGTACAAGTTATCACCTTTTTTCTTATATTTTATTGACAATATGTTCAAATGTAACGATAACCTGTTAAACTTGAAAATGCAACTTCCAAATGAATCTGCATCCAAAAGTCGGAACCAGTTGATTTATAATCGCCAAATGGAGTGGGTATAAAATTTAGAGCATCTTTAAAGCTTATCGCTCATACATGGAGTGAATATCTCATGGTATCTGGGGAAGTACAAAGTCCATAAACAATGTGAAGAAATTTTATCCGTGCCCCTGCCACATGTGTATTCTAATTAACGTTTTTTCATAGTTGCCTTTCCGTTTAATTATGAAGTAAGAGGAAGAGATGATATTTAATTTATAAGTTTATTAAATATTACATTACTTGTTTCTTCCACATTCAGGTCTTCAGTCAGCTCTGACGTGATCTCAGTTCGACTTTCATCGTAACTTTAATGGACCTTTAAAATGAACATCAAATTGTGTGTAAACTCATGTTTAGTCTGCGTGTAGTCACCTGTGAGCATTCAATAGAAGCTTTCCCATGTTGATGGTTGGAAAGCAATTAACGTTCGTAGCTCCAATATGAGGTGAATTTTTCAAATTTCAAGCTCAAAAGTCTTGACGTAAAATAAAAATTTCAGCTTCATAAAAACTTCAAAAGTTACTGTACTTATTCTTCCCATTCTTTTATAAGGTGATGTTTCTTGGTCATACATTCTCTCATATTTTCCCGTGTTTACAGTGACCGCCTAGATGCCCTGTACTGCTCTCCTGGCCAAGTCGTCGACTACTTCAGCAAGCGACATTCCGCCGGAATGCAGAGTGGTAGATTGCATCCTAAGATCGATTATTATTTTACCCGAATTATTTCTAATACATTCTAATTGCAATAAATAAATGTTTTATCTGTTGCAAGTCTTGGAATTTTTCAAGTCTTTCCTATGAAACGGCATTTTTTGCCCTGAATTGTTATCATCGCTTATGTTGCACCTTTGATTCCTGTAACAAGTTTGTTGCGACAAAACACAAACTGGCGTTTTTATATTTCATTTACTTTTCATACATATACCTCAATCAACAGAGATGCTCACAACTACGAACAATTAATCGAGTTCAAGTTCATCAATAAAATCGTATGAGGCAGATAAAATTAAATGAAAAAGTCAACTGGTGAGGTTCACGAACAAGTTGAAATTAGTAGGCAAAATAAATTATTCAAAATATGTATAATAATAACAAAAAATTGAATATTTTTGGTAATTTACCTTGGACTTTCTTGAAAGGCAGTTTCACGGCTCCCAAACTCCAAACAAGGGTAACTAAAGAGGGGACTGGCAAGATCGGTGTACGTTTTGACAACGACTGCGACGTCGGGGCTTTCAAAGCTTTACCAAAGCAAATAGGTAAGTTTTCGATTATTTAACCGTAAGTTGAACCCTTCGTTGTAACTGATTTTAAAAATTTTTATTTTGAATGCAGAAGGTTACCTCGCCGTTTCTTGGCAGCGATGAGCGACGGTGTGAGCGAACAGTAGCACGGATACCATTGCAATGCATTGCATCATCATAAGTTATTATTTTTTCTGAGTTAATAACCACGCTACAGTACAAATTTACATAATTTACTAAAAACAAGCTTATATAATGAAACAAACACGTCCCTGTTACCTCTATCAATTGGCTCGTTGATAGGGTCGGAGGCTTTTAACATAACATAACATAGTGATGTCGGCGCTAAAGAGTAAGCCTGATGTGGCCTGTCGCCGTTTTTTTAACTTTTTGTGACTTGTTCACAGAAGATCTAAAATGTCATTCCGGTCATTTGACCGGATCTTTTCATGACGGACAATAGTTTGAAATAGCTACTAGACTTCCACCGGCTTCGATATGGTGCTAGACATTTCAAGTCTGAACATATATTTTTCTTTAGCTTTATTTAGTCTGTTCTTGAACGCGTTCATATTGTCACTGGGGAGCAGTGTCATATTGTCAACCATTGTCACTGCGGAGACAATGAACAAAGCAAACTGACATAGCATTTTTGCCTGGATGTTCTGCATATTGAAAAAGAAATTTTGATTCTTGTAGACGAATTCAATTTTTAGCTATCAGTGTAGACGTCTTCAATGCAAGTTTGATTCATTGGAAGCCTCGGTTAGGAGTAAATGTGCCGCTGAATTCTTGCTTTTCTTCAAAAAATTGTTGACGGCAAGCGTCAAAAATTGTCGGGCACGTCATTACCGCCAAATGATGGAACTTGGAATGACGAAGGATCACACAGATTTTTAATACGGAACAGAAGGATGCATTAGCTGAGAAAATTTTCCTTGTTCATTCGAGCCCGGCCTGTTCTACAGACGATGCTTGTTGTGTACGAGGAATGCCTCGCACCGTCAGCTCACAATTGTTGAAGAACGGTTGTAGCGTCACCCGCTGGCACTTCCCAGACCTCTGCGACGACGACTTGGACTGGATGATCTCCATCCTGTACCGATTCAGGGGTACTCGGTGCGTATGAATAAACTCAATTTGAATTAATTAATATTCTCATTCTGGCAGGTTCTATTGCTCTAGCGCTTGGCATTTGATAATTAAGAATTTGTCGCTTTCGAAATGATTTAATGTGATGAAAGATAATTTAAATATTTCATAAACCATTAATTGAATCAAAGAATAAAATAACAATATTAAAAAAACATTGTTATTTGTAAAGTTTCTTACATAATATCTTGTGAAGTAATTAATCTAAATGTCTGGCGCTTTCGGTATAGCCTCAAAATCCCTATACTTCCAATATATAGGAGGTATAGGGGTATATATAAAAGGAGGCTATATATATGCCTCCTAGTAAAGCTGGTGTAGTCAACTCGAATGATTCATTTACTCAAACATACTTACTTTGTGTCGATCAACTTTACGAAAATTCTGACTCAGATTTCCTGAAAAAACATATTATTTCTTAGTTTTTTGATTGATTGCCATCTTAGGCTGAGTCTGGTCTTACCGAGAAATGGCCTCACCGCTACGGGCGCTCGTCGGCTGTTCGCGACGCTCCCCGACATCCATGAGGTATACCACGACCCTGGCGCGTCGCCCCTGACATCAGATGGCAATAGCGGTGCACCTGATCTCACCTTCATCGAGTTGTCAATGAACAACATCATTCAATGGATGTAAAATGCTGTGGCGTGGTAGTAGGTATGTCAAGGCAGGAATCTAACACAGTTTATATGACGCATTTATTTTCTCAATATTCTCTTTGAGTATTGAAGGCTTGAAGGGAGGAATATTGATGAAAGAAGCGAAGGGTTTTCCAAATGGGAGTGACCAGGCAGAAATGTGTTGAATCAGCGTGAGTTAAAGCAGTTTTTATTGATGATATCAAGCACGAATTCCATTTTATTTAGATTTCTTGTTAAAAAAACGTAGGTAAGCCATCTACGGACTTATAAAATTTTGAGATTAATTAAAATAATGGCAATAAATGAAGGATCACGTGAAAATGTGATAAATTGAATGATCAATGATTCTATATAGCTTTACTTTAGTGTAAATGAGTCCCGTAAAATATGCATCATATTTTGAAGTACCAATAATATTTACACAAAAATCTCTGCTATTTTTATGGCAATTGGTTATAATTGTATATTTCTTTAAGCCACAAGTGAGAATAACCAAAAATATTGGGAAAACAAGGTTGAAGAGGACAATCATAGGGGCTCTTGATCTATTGGTATTTCTCAAATTACGGCATAAATGTCTATTCCCTTTTTTATTTGAAACAATCTCAAAACTTTGATATCCTATCTTCAAAGTGAAATAATTCTTCCTTAGCTGAGATATTCAAGAAGAGTTTTTTCTAAATAAATTTTATATTACTTTGATCCATGTTTAACATTAGTTATTCAACTTTGAATGCCTAGTGAATAAATCATTTATGTGCACCGGTTTTGAACCAACATTTGTTGCCAGGTTTTCTCCAAAAAAAACAAAAATGGAAAAATACTGGAAATGTTAATTATAAATATATTAAATGAGCAAATTAATTGACTCGAATATTTAAAAAAAACACCCAGCAATGTCTGCATTGCAAAAGTAACTAAATCAAGTGAAATTATTCAACACAAAAGTTACAAAGTAAAAAGAAAATACTTAAGTTCTTCCAAAATAAATTTTATTTATTTTTTTAATTCTAAAAATTGTATTTTACTTCTCAGTTATTTTGTTCGGTGGGTGGATCGCAAATTTCCGGGCAAGATAATTTAAGACGTGACCTACTCTTCAAGACATTATCCGCTGGCCGTCATGCAGTGAAATGCAGAGAATTTTACCGAAATTAACCACTTTAATCATACAGCTTATTGAGTCTTGTTAAGTCTATTGTGTTTTGTGTTTTATACGTATAATAATCGAATAACAGTGGTTTACGGACGAGTAAATGATTAGTACAGCATTATATTGTTATCGAAAGTTATTATTGTATGAGACTTGTTTTAACAGTGATTAATACATTTTATCCTGTTCAAGTGATGTACCATGGGATCACCTGCCCGTTCGAATAAAGACTTCAGACGTGATTTGATTGAAATGATGAACGAAATTAATATTCACGGTCGAATTCAATTACGGAACACATCACATGTTCTTTCTATTCTATTAACCATGTCAGCGTTAGGCCTCAAAATCGCGTCGCATCAAGTGTTTGTGATTGAAGAGTTTCTTGTTATTGACCATGAAGTGCCAGTCTCTTCGTTCCCTCTAAATCTTCGTATCCTCGTTACAAAAATACACGTTTGACTTACACGCCAAAATGAGCAAAACTATTTTTACGGCAACCGTGCATTAAAATATGTTTGAAATTTTCATTAGTTCGATATTTTTAACAGTTGTTAGTGTATTAATGTCTTTGAATAATAATTATATACGCATCCTAACGCTAGTTGCGGGAGTAAGCCATAGCTCGCCAGATTGCTGTATATGAACTACGTAGCAGCATCTTTAATCATTCGCATTAGAAATAATAATATGCGTTTAAAAATTAATTTTTAGAGACAACACTTCCAAAGAATCCAGTGTCTCCAATCTTACAAATGTACAATGAATTTCTCATTTAATTTTCAAATTAAAAAATTAGTTTTTCAATTATTATTTTGACATTTGATTCATGCATTGTCTCCAACTTTACACAAGTGTACAAAATTTCAGATCGATAGGATAAGTAGAAGTGTATTAAATTTCGATTACAAGATTTGTAGCAGACAGACAGACAAACAGACAGACAAACAAGAAGTGAAGTTAAAGAGAAGTGTTGTAAATAGGAATTTAATGAGGGCAATATGTTGAGAAAAATTATATGAATTGAGATACCAATATCCCTGGCAACGTAAGCGGAACCTGAATATATAAATAACATAGAAATTGACGTGTGGTCAATGGAATTACGAGAAAGTTTTACGCAAAGTCTTCGCAAACGAAAAGATTTACACAACCTTGCTTGGTAGCTATAATATTGAATGAAATAAAATGTTCGACAAGCGTAATTTTGCTTCATACCTATTGGCAAATACTTAAGGAAAACGAATGATTATTTCGCAGGAGTAAAATAATTTTATATAAGGAAACACGGACGAAATTGGGAAACATAACTGCTCTTTTATTGCCTAACCATTAAAATTACAATTCATTCGGTGACGAATGAATTAGGAAATTAGCCTATAGGAATGAAATATCGATGCCTTCATAAACATTCCTCAATTTCTACATTTCCTTTATTTAGAAAGAGCCTTACAACATTTTTCTTCTAGTAATAGGATTTTTTGACCAAGCTTGAGCAGGTAAAATTACGTTATTTCGGAAGTTGAACAAATTTGAAAAGAAATTTCTAGGTATTGCGTAAAGCTAAAGCAAAAAAAGTGAGCAAAGCGGGTTACCATGAATGAGAGAACTAGAAAATCCGTGATCCTTAGAGCGTGGGAACAAAATAAGTAATTAAAGGAAAAAGCAATGCTTCATTCAAAAAGAAACATGATATTTAACAATTAGGGATAAAATTATTTACAATTCTCGCATCATTTCGTTCACCCTCGCATGCCGGAGTATAATATAGAATAATAAGGCAGAATCCGCACAGCTTAATTACAGCACCCAAAATACAGAACAGCGTTTCATCCAGCCAATCTTCATCTTTTTAGTGGGATGAAAGTTTGAAATTTACACACATTATTTAAACATTTACACTATCACTTCTCACAATAACGTGAATGATGGATCACAACATGAGTGCTGACCTCTTCTTCAGCTGCCCCCTTCATCCTGATGGCGCTCCGAGTAGCATGGATACGACGCCGCCTCACATCAGCTGATCCTCCTGCATCACAGAGAATAGACTGAAAGGTCATTTAAAGATAGATCCTTGTATTCCAAACATTCCAGAGCAACTCGGATGGAAAATATGTTCGTGAATAAAGAAGTGTTATAAAAATTAGTTGCATGGCCATGCCGTGGCCGCCACTTGAGGTATAGTCATAATATCATCATTTCATGCTATATATCGGCTTGATTATCTTATAACAACCAAAATATCTCTCTCGCCCACTTGGCGGAGCAACTGCAGTTCATGACTGAGTTGTGTGAAGAAAGAAAACATTTGAGGTATCAGTCCAGCCGTTTCTAAAATAGAAATAATATTCATAACTTTGAAATTCAATTCGAAGGTTTTCCTAAACCTAGAAATTTGTTAACTTTAAATCGACAAAAAGTCTGTTATTATTTCACGGGTATTAGTTCAGGCGTTTCTAAAATAAAATAAACTTTCTTAAATGGTTCAGCTGTTTCTAAAATAGAATTAGTACTCATAACTTTTAAATTCAACTCGAAAGCTCTCCCAAATCTAGAAATTTATTCACTTTAGAGCGGCAAAAAGTCAGTTATAATTTCTCGAGTATCAGTGCAGCCGTTTCTGATATAGTATTAGTATTAATTCAGAATCACACCATCACTCCCCTCACTCAGAGTCACACTATCACTCCCCTTATTCAGAATCACACCCATCACTCCCCTCATTCAGAATCACACTATCACTCCCCTTATTCAGAATCACACCCATCACTCCCCTCATTCAGAATCACACTATCGCTCCCCTCATTCAGAATCACACTATCACTCCCCTCATTCAGAATCACACTATCGCTCCCCTCATTCAGAATCACACTATCACTCCCCTCATTCAGAATCACACTCTCTCTCCCCTCATTCAGAATCTCACTCTCACTCCCCCTATTCAGAATCACACCTTCATCCACTATATAGAATAACACTCTCGCTCCTCTTGTGCATAATCACACCTTCATCCACATATACAGAATCACACTTTTACTCGTCTTATTCAGAATCACACTCTCACTCCCCTCATTCAGAATCCTACTCTCACTCCCCTCATTCAGAATCACACTCTCACTCCACCCCATTCAGAATCCCACCTTCATCCACTTATATAGAATCACACTCTCGCTCCTCTTTTTCATAATCACACCTTCATCCACATATACAGAATCACACTTTCACTCCCCTTATTCATAATCTCACTCTCACTCCCATATTCAGAATCGCACTCTCACTCCCCCTCATTCAGAATCGCACTCTCACTCCCCCTCATTCTGAGTCACACTCTCACTCCCCTTTTCCAGAATGTCACGCTCATTATCCTCATTTATCATCACATTCTCATCCCCTTTTTCAGAATCACCTCCATCATAACCCGCAGTTCTCGCCCCCACGCCTCACACTCCACCATCAGCTGCAGTGTGGCGACCAGAGTTGCCGGATCTCGCACAATGTTGTTGCAGTCAAATTTAAAGGATCGCGGCGAATAGGATTATCATTGCGTACACCTATAAACAGTTCCTATTCGTTCAAGAAATGAGCTGAAATTGGAACGGTACTCATTTACACCCCAATCAGACACTACAAAATTGTTATTACAGTCAATAATTTCTTAGCAATAAACATCCACGTTTTTACAAGGTGAATTTCCTATGAGCGGACAAATTTATAAAGCATTTATCCGAAAAATGGCAACTTGAAAACATCGAAACTCATGAAGGAATATAATTTGCGTTGCACGGTAATTTGACATATTTTCATGACAACAAGCCAAATTGTTGATGCGATATTATTGATATGCATTTGCGAAAAATATTGAATTTGTCACAAATGCACTGAGTTGCACTCGCAAATGCACAACTCGTACACTATAGTTACTCTCGTAGACATGAGTTTGACGAAGATTTGTTTTTGAGAATTCTGATCTAAATAAACATGAATATCGCGGGAAAACTTGCATTAAAGTATCAATGATACCTGAACGTATTCGCTTCAAACAG